TTTTTGAAATGCAATTTTTGGTTTAGAGCTTTCTTCAGAGTCCCTGGGTGGCACAAATGTTTAGGTACTGGACTACTAACTGAAAGACTGGCAGTTCAAACCTACCCAGAGGTGCCTCTGAAGTAAGGCCTGGTGATCTGCTTCTGAAAGGTTGCAGCCTTGAAAACCCTATGGAGCAATTCTACTCTGCACACTTGGGGTCGCCATGAGTCAGAATCAACTTGATGGCAACTAGTAACAACAACAGAGCTTACTTCACTTACATATTAATATACCCGAATGGAAAAGTTTTAGACCATTTATAATTGCATCCCATTTAAGTCACCATTAAGAAGTTTTCATATTTAGCTGTTACATTGATGGCAGTGTGTAATTAGACATAATGAAGCATGGCAGGTCATAGCAGGCATCCAAGTTTGGGGATTAGATGCACCTGAATTTAATTGGTAGCTTTGCCATCTACTTGCTGCGTGGTCCTGTCCTAGTTAACTAAGGAATGTACTTCTCAGTTTCTTTTTCAGATGGTTGTTGTTTTGTTAATAATTATTATTGTTACCATAATCATTATGCCTGTGACGGGCAGTGAACTTTGCTTAAGTAATGTGGCCACAGACTATACTGTTCTCAACTCTTAGAAAGTAAAATCTTATTGTTACACTGGCTCCTTTTGATCACAAGGGCAACTAGGTTCTTCTGCATTGTGGGGAAAACAGTCAATACCAACAGCCCCAAATTCATGCCTTACTTATCAAAGGTTAATCATCTTCATTTACTTAGGTCAGGACATCATTGCAGTGTGTCTAGTGTGGAAACAAACATCTGTTTTTTAAATGTAGTATCATGTTCCTTGGGAATGCCAGACTGTAAATTCCTGACTACTTATTTCAGTAATTCATTTAATGAACCATACTAACATCCCATTTTTTTGATACATAATAGGTAACAATCAGGTGTCATATACTGAGATTTATAAATAGCTGGGTCAGTTGTTTCCCTAAAGTCATTAAAAATTAAATAACACTATAAGCCAGCTATTGCCATAATGCTGCTGCTTAAGAAATCACCCGAGAACTCAGTGGCTTATAATAAGTATTTATTTCTGTAAGTCTAGAGGTTGGCTGAGGGTCAGCTGATCTAGACTGAGTTCAGCTGAACTTGGCTCCAAGCTGCAGGTTGAGTCCAGATCTGCTGTATGTGTCTGTCATCCTCCTTGGACCAGTGGCTACCCAAGCATGTGCTTTTCATAGTAAATGGCAGAAATTAAAAAAAAAAATCAACCATGCAAGCGATTTAAAACTTTTGCTTGCTTCATGTTCATTAAGATCCATCGGCCAAATCATAATAAATGGTCAACTCCAACTCAAGAATGGGAAGTAAACTCCACCTATTGTGAGGCCACGGCACGGGTAGGAATATGCATTTATGTTCGCATTGCATACCTATACCGGAAGAGATCCAGTACCTTCAAATATGAATTTAGATATCCCCAGGAGAAGATATCTCATGAAGTTAGCATAGAACAATATTCTAATTGGTAATATTTTTCCATTGGATGATTTTCCTTCACTGTGATTTTGACATCTGTTCTCCTTTCTTAGGGCACATTCCAGGTTAAAATTCTAGACTTTTTGATGGTAAAACACCCCTTAAGATCAAGTTCCCAAAATGCTGAAGATTGTTGGGAACCACTAGATCTACATTAATGAAGATGTAATATAGGGAATAGGAAAAAATTAATTTTCTCTTGTGTTTAGGGAGATTACATCTCACTGTGTTTCAACATGTGATGACAGAGTTGTGAGGGCTTCCCTGCTTTTAAAAAGGAATACTACATGAATGTTGTTAGCTGCCGTCAAGCTAGCCCCTGACTCATGGCAACCCCATGCACAACAGGATTGGACTGTTGTGATCCATGGAGTTTTCATTCGCTGATTTTCATAAGTAGATTGCCAGGCCTTTCTTCCTAGTCTGTCTTAGACTGGAAGCTCTGCTGAAATCTGTTCAGCAACATAGCAACATGCAAGCCTCCACTGACAGAAAAGTGCTGGCTGTGCATGAAGTGCATTGACCAGGAATTGAACCTGGGTCTCTCTCATGGAAGGTGAGATCTCTTCGTTTTGCTCTTTTCATAGTTTTGTCAAAATACTCTTTGATAAGAGTGCTTTGAGGGATTACTCTCAAGGTTTAGTGAACAAAACCAAATAGAAATTGAGTCTGAAGAAGACAGTTACACCATTTTGAAGGCACCCAAATTGGTATATGGATATTTTATGACAGTAATCTTACAGTCAGATATATACGTTGTTATTAATAGTAATTAATAACATCAATAACTCCAAATTCTATTTTGAATATCTCCTGTATATTATGTACAGTGCATTTATTATCTTTATTACGTATGGTAATCCTGCTAGGTATTGTTGTTGTTAGAGGCCACTGAGTTGGTTCTAACTCATAGTGACCCCATGTGCAACAGAACAAAACACTACCCCGTCCTACACCATCCTCACAGTCATTGCTGTGTTTGAGCCTATTGTGGCAGCCACGGTGTCAGTCCATCTCGTTGAGAGTCTTCTTCCTCTCTTTCACTGACCCTCTACTTTACCAGGCGTGATGTCTTTCCCCAGGGACTGGTCACTCCTGATAACATGTCCAAAGTACGTGAGATGAAGTCTTGCCATCCTTACTTCTAAGGAGCGTTCTGGCTCTACTTCCAAGACAGATTTGTTCATTCTTCTGGCAGTCTGTGGTGTATTCAAATTCTTCGTCAACACTGTAATTCAAATTCATCAGTTCTTCGGTCTTCTTTATTCATTGTCCAGCTACTAGGTATTAGTACTCCCAATTTATACACAAAGAAACTGAGGCTCAAAGAAGCTGTATTAACTGCCCAAGGCCATCCAGCTAGCAAGCAGCGAAACTGGGATACAAACCTAGATATATCAAAATCAAAGTCTGAATATAACCCATTATAGTCCAATGCTGCCTTTCAGCTCGATCTCTAAAATCTCATTTGAGCTTTATGAGGGGATTAACTCATTGGGCTCATAAAGTAATTGATGGACACATTTTTGTGACCTAAATTTTTATGAAGAGCTCGACCACTGTGTGTCTTTCAGAATTCCTTTGCAGGCCCTCCGTCCCCTGTGGGATGAGGGTCTCAGTGGCAGTCTGGACAAACTTTGAGTTGGAGGGGCCTGACTACAGTCCTGCCTCCCCTGTGTTCCAGCTGGGGGACCCGGGGCGATAGACAACCCCCCTCAGCCCCGTTCTCCAATCCCTTATGGAGGAAATGGTGCCATCTGCCCTTAGGTTTAACATAAGGAATAAATCAGACAGTACAGATAAAATGCAGTTTGGGGAATACGGTAAAGTAAATGCTTTAAAGGCAATAGTAGGTGGTCATAATTAGACTGCACTCAAGTGCATTCTTACGAGTTAACATTGATATGTGTAAAGCTATTAGACTAGTGCCTAAGTGTAGTGTGTTAGCCAAATTAAAAACAATATAATCTGTACTGATATAAAATTTGGTGAAAAATGAGCCTTTTGGAATAGGGGCCAAGGGAGTCAGTTGATAATTTTGTGATTTTTTAAAGAAAGAAAGGATCTCAAGAGAGCATTATCCTTGCAAAATTTAAATATATATGTATATATATATATATGTGAGGAGTAATAGAAAAGTCAAGACCTGTAACATGATATATAAGCAGTTTCCCTTCTGCAGTGAATGTGGATATACTAAAAAGAGTAGTATCTGTTATGTCCCCAAGGTTTTCATACATTTTTAATTCTTTTTTACATTTATGCCTAAGATCAAATATTAATTAAAATAACTCCTGTTCTTTAAAGTCTTTATCTAAACTTTTTTATTCTTATATAATACTTCACTAGTTGGAACCCTGGTGGTGCAGTAGTTAAGCATTTGGTTGCTAACCAAAAGGTCGGCCGTCCGAATCCACCAGCCGCTCCCTGGAAACCTATGGCGAAGTTCTGTCTGCTCTGTCCTACAGGGTCACTATGAGTCAGAATCAACTTGATGGCAATGAGTTTATCCTAATTAGTAACTTTTTAATTTCTAGGCAACAGATGGTCAGAAATGAAGCTTATATAAAATACCAAACACGTGTACCTCAGATTGTATGAAACTGACCTCACATCTCTTCACTGTGTATACTTTATGGAAACTTTGTCACAGCTCTGCCCCTTGCTATGTCACTTGAGCCTCGGTTAGGCCAACTTCAAGCCCATGTTATCTTCCTAAATCATAATACCCCAAGTAAATGGATGAATGTTAATTTTCAGTATTATAGTTTTTTTTTTTTATTATAATAGCAGGATTTTCTGTGTCTTATTGGGCTGACCTCTCTAATCCAAGCATGTCATTAGCCTGGGGCCCATTTTTCAGTGAACATTGGAGAACACGGCTCTCTGTCTTCTGCCCTCCCTCCTTTCTTTGCTCCCTCCATCATATACACATACACACAGCTGAGACAAACAATATTGTGGATCAAGAGTGGATCATATGATAATTAAATCAAGATAGTCTGCTGCAGGAGGAATCAGGTCAGCAGTGGACAATGATTGTTTCCTTAGCTTACTGTAATGCGTCCAAGTCTTAGTCCACTTTGTCTATCTGGTCACCTGAGCCCTCGGAGCTAACAGAGAAAGAGATTCTTTGGATCTTGGTGGAGTTAGGGAACATCTCTCGGACATTCTCTTTGTTGCCTGGACTTAGAGCAGGACAAAGGACAAGAACTGGAGTCTGGGACATGCCCCAGGGCAACAAAGCTGTACTTGGCCAGAGCTGACTATTTCCCCTCTCACCACATTTAGCTGAGCAACTCTGGTGGCACTCGGATGTGCCACCTAAATGGTAAACTATCAGGTATGTCTGGGAGATACTGAATGATGGTATTAGAGAGATTATACATGGGCTATATCATGAGCTCTTATCAGAGTCAAGCTGATGCATATTTTGTTTTGCTTTGTTTTAACAGAATGAAGTCCCTGAAGTGAAGAAAGAGGAGACTTTGCTAGATCTGGACTTTGACCCGTTCAAGCCTGAGGCAGCATCCGTGGGTTCTGTTGGTGTGACCCACTCACCCATGTCTCAGGTATCAAGTGTTTCTTTTCCATGTCTGGGGATGATATTTTGTGAATCTTAAATAAGCTCAGTAAGATAATGGATGCATCTTTCAGTGATCACTCTCCCTTTCAAATGACTTTTATCTATTTTACTTCTTAGATGACTAATGGGAGTAGAAAGAGGATGATATTAATATCAATTCATCTAACCTTCCCCTCTACCATTAGCTTTCTCTTCCCATAGAGCTGGGTAACCAACCATATACAAAGTAATTATTAATCATGCTCCCTTTCATGCTCAGAAGTATCCAGGTTTGGCTGATACAGTTTATGCCTGCCCTGAATAAAGCTCTTTCTTTTGGCTTTGGGTTTCATCTTCTTACTATTTTCTCTACTTTGCCTCCTCACACCATGCAAATTAAGGCATGTTTGAAATAACCATGAGATTAAGCCCTGGAAGAACTGTTTTTCAGCCTTGATAGTTTTTAACTTGATGTCCTCAGCCTCCACACTGCAGCAGCTTCCCTCTTTTGATCTGGATTATGGCTTGATGTAGAGTTGGCGTTACCTACCCAAGCTTATCCTTGCTTATCACTTCCTAAGTCTCAACATTTCTCCCATTGCAAAAGTTATTGCAATAGCATTCTCTGTCAGAGGGATACTGGTGGTGTGTGCTGCAATGACCTGTGGGTAGTTCCTCTGGAGTATAGTTAATTTACAGTTATCCATGCGAATGGAAGGGAATTAACTAATAATTTTGACTAAAGAGTCATTGTTTATATCAGTATTTTGGATATATTTGGGAACTTACATTTGAATTTGGGCAAATCCAAAGATGCAAGAGTATACTTCAAATTAATGAAGGTATATCAAAAAACTCAACTTAGGATATAACACCCAGCTCAATTCCCTTTTCTTAAAGCCTTCTTGATAACATCCCAGTAAACCACTGGGGAACAGACAGCTCATTATGAATCTCAATAAATAAGGCTTCTCTCTAATCTGTGCTTTGTTCCAGAATGCGATTGGATTTCTAAAGGCCTCCCTATTATGCAATAGGAATAGTAAAAGTGTAAAATGTCACCAAAACAGGAAATTAAGTAGACCAGGTACTAGCCTTAAAGGTGCTTTGCAAAAAAATGAATCTCTTAGATGCATATTTCAGGCAACTCTATCTGTTAACTCCTTTCTGTGAGATTTTTGATGTACCTTAGAGTATTAAAGGCTCTAAGAAGTCCTGCATTAAAATTTTTTTTAGGTTTATTTAACTTAGAGTTTCCCAAACAGTGAAATCTATTTTAATGAAAATCTTCTTATCATTCACTGAAAATAGTGTTCTCTAAAACATATTTTTGGGAAATGCCAAAGTAGTAATTGCCAGCGAGTTGAGAGACCTGCCTTAATAGCCACGAAAAATAGAAAATGAATGTACATCTAACTCGGTATACTTCCTTCTCAGAGCTTTCTCATTTTATAGACTACCAGCAGAAATCCTGGAACTTCCTCTGCTTACTTTCTGCTACTTTAGTGGCAGAAAAAAAGTTTTCATGGTGGATGCTCTGATGTCTAAGGGTGAGAATCAACAGCAGTTCTGTCTGTAAACTTGAATCAAGAGAGAAGCCTTTTTTATGTCAATTCACGATTAACCCATAAATCAAGGAATTTGTGTGGACTTAGGGCTAAGGCATTCTTTTACAATTTTTTATTTTCTAAGCAATGTTGGTTGAATCTTCAAATGTCTCAGTTCTGAAGAAAATGAGTTACTGCAGTTAGGGAAAGCTGTACTCACCCCTGTGATCTTCCCTTGGGGCCAGGTAATAAACTACTCCGGCTTCTCAGTGGCTGTAACTGAGCTGCCTCACTGCAGAGTCACCTGCAGTTCAGCTCTAATCACATCTCTCGTGCTGAGAAGAAGCGTCTTAGGCCAAGTTGACAGAGAAGCACGATGCATTAGGTTCTGCTGGCCTTCTTCCCCTTCATTCACAGGGATCTCCCTTACCCATCACTTGACCTCATGTTTTAAATTGATGTTCTTCCTGCGGGTGGAACACTTTATCTTGTGATCTCTGCAGTCTGTCCACACAAGCTAGCTCATCCTTTCGCGATGCTGAGCGTTGATAAATATGATGTCTCACATGGCTGCCTTTCTTTGGAGAATCCATTGGTGCCGCCTGCATTATGTGGAGATGTGTAGTGGCTTTTTTGATCTGTGATTCTTAAGGAATATGAAGCAAAGAAACATAAACCATCTGGATGTTTAGAAAATGCATATTAGATGCAGAAGAAGCTCCTAAAATTGTAGCTTTCAATAGAGCTTTCCACTCTCCTTTCTCAGTCATTTCATGAGTGGGTGTTATCCAGGAGACCACCAAGCTGTACAGAGATGCAGGGCAGACGTGCAGTGCAGTTAGAGCCAGTGCAGATCCAGTGGGTGATATCAGTTAGAACCTTAGGGCCCGCATTCTCTCCTACAGAATCCACATAAGAGGAGATGTGTTATCTGATCTGGAAACTGTTGTAACAGTCATATTTGTAAGAAGGGAGTGCCAGAGTCTATAGCTTGTTGTTTACATTTACTGCATCAACGTAAGTGCATAAACATGAATCCGGTCTAGTCACAAGGACATAGGTAGAAAAGGATGTGGCTTTAGCAGGAATTCTTAATCACAAAGGAAGTAAGAAAGAGAGGTTGCCCCCACTCTTCCCACACACAGTGGAAGCCGTTTGAACCATCTGGATTCATTCTCCAGGATCAGTAAGTTTCATAATTAAAATGCCAGTAGTAAGTCTAATTCATCTATGTGTGTTAGGGGGCATCCTGCTAATTTGCATGATTAGCAATTAATTGAGCTGTGTGTTATATTTTGACATATTGAGGAACTACTCTTCCAGGGTATATTTACCAGCAAACTAGTTGTAATACGTCCTCGTGGTCCTCATCCTGAATGCGTGTGTGGGTGTGTGCACACATGCCTGAGGAGGTGGATAGCGTCAACAATGATTAGGATCTGCATTTCCTCAAAGAAGACGTTATAAGCTCTGATATCTGGACACCTTTCTTACTTCATTCTAATGGGGTGTGTAGGTGTGTGTGTGTTAAAGTAGCCTCATTCATTGTGTTATAAATATAGTTATCCATTTGTATAAGGAAAGGTTGATTAACTAGAAGCAGTCTATTCAATATGTTAGCCACTAGCCACATTGTATATTTAAATTTAAATTAAGTAAAATTATGCAAAATAAAACCTTAGTTCTTCAGTTATACTATCATATTTCAAATGCTCACTAGCCACATAGGGCTAAAAAAACCCAAACAAATCAAACCCATTGCCGTCGAGTCAGTTCAGACTCATAGCAACCCTATAAGACAGAGTAGAACTGCCCCATAGTATTTCCAAGGAGCGGCTGGTGGATTCTAACTGCCAACCTTTTGGTTAACAGCCGAGCTCTCAACCACTGCGCCACCAGGGCTCCCACATGTGGCTAGTGGCTACCATATTGGACAACACAGATATGGAATGTTTTTATCATGAAAGAAAGTTCTATTGAACAGTGCTGGACTAAACTTTTAGAGAGTGTTCACGATTTTATTTCAAGGACTTTTTATCACCTCAGATTTTTTTTTTTGGGTTTTGTATACCTAACAGTATTTTTGTTTGTTTTCAGACATTGCCCTGGGACCTATGGACGGTAAGAGCACTAAGAACTATGCATTTTGATGCTTCTGGATCCCTAGAAATTTGGTAACCCTTGTTACATTTTTAATGATAATTATTATCCTAGAACAATCATCAGGCCCTTGCAGGTTCCTGGCATTACTAGAATCTGGAAACTGATGAAGAAAAGAGTGCTAATGGGCCAGGTTTCTGGATGGCCAACTGTCAAGAGTTTGGTATTATGAGCCTTTATGCTTGTTCCTGTGGTTATTGGTGGCTAGAGGAGATGTTGAGTGTGAAAGGCATGTGCATATGTTGTTTTTACGAAAAATGTGGACGAGAAAATATAAGGAATGGGCAATTCTGCACACGAAACAAGTAATTTTTTTCATTATTATATTAAAAAAAACTTCATCGGTTAAAATTTAAGCTTTACAGTCAGACAGCCCTGGGTTTGCCAGGTTCTACTACTTATAACCTTGTGACTTTGAGCAATTTGTAAAACTTCTCTAAGCCTCAGTTTTTCTCATCTGGAAAATAAAGGTAAAGACACCTACCTCATATGGTTGAGTGAGGAATAAATAAGGTAATGTTTGTAAAACATTTAACTCAATGTCTTGCATATATTAATAAAAGGTAGATGTTATTACTGTTATTTGTTCAGCTAATCTGATGTGCAAGGATGAGTACTTCCAGAATTTAGATTTGGGAAAGAGACACATCTCCTATGATACTAAGAGATGGACTACACCCATAAAGAGCCACACATCCCTTGGGGTAGGACCTTTGCCTGCCCTGTTTTAGAAAAGCCCTGGATTGTGGTCTTGAGAACCCAACTTGTTTCATCTTTTCTTCTTTCTTTGTGAGACAGCAACAGGAAAGTTTGGTAGATCTAGTTATTTGTGGGCCTGGTGTTTGGAAGTAACATTGCTGCTTTCTCCCCTTAAAACGGAATGGTGACTGTCCCCTTCCCATCATAGGAATAGGTTTATACTACACTACTTAGCATCCTTGGAGCATCAAGAAAAGCTCTTAAACAGTGTTGGTTGACAATGCCAATGACTAAGTGATATCATTTATAGTGAGTTGTTTCTACTTGTGTATTCATAAAAAGGGATGCATGAGTTGACATGCAGGACATTTGGAGTCAATCTTCAATGCTGTGTATTCTTGGAGATTAAGAGAACGATGCTAATTTCCCATACCTCCAATATTTCATATCTTTAGCTAGAGTTATAACACATTTCCCTTCCCCAGCTGAGGAGTGTATAGTGAGGGTGAGGGTATCATCTAGGAGACAGAGCTTTGACTATTTCCAAGGACAGACCTGCTAGGAATGATAAAAATAGCAAGATTGCAAATGATGGCTCTCTGGATATAATCACTCATAGTTATTAATCCTCTCAGTTTCCCAGTGGTTTTTCCTTGTGTGCAGAAAATGGCTTTTGAGTTTTGGGTAGAACACCAGGGGAAGCCTCTAGGCAGTCAGAGTGGTTAACAGCAGATCATTCTCCATCCAGGCACCTACCTCAAGGGCAGAACCAAGTGTGAGATGAGTCTTGTGAAGACCTTAGTCAGATATTGTGTCAGAGTGTATGATGTCTTGTAATTTTGTGGCCTTCTGGTGCTCTTAGGCTTGTTTATTTATTGGAAACTTTGCATTTAAGTCTGCTGAAGAAGAATTGATAAACTAACCATAAAACATCCTTATTGATGCTAGGAAATAAATGACAGAGGCTTTCTTTGTGTTTCATTTGTACGTATTCCATAGTAGTAGCATTGGTGCAAAACTCATTCATATCGCAAAATGAGTTATTGGGTTTAAAATTTAACACCAAGATAGTAAAAAGCCACAGCCTTCAGCAGAATGCTCACTGTGGACATCGGGGGAATTTAATGTGCCAGTTAATTTTCTTCTTTTGTCTTTTTTTTTTTTTTTTAAACCCATACAGACAAGCACTGATTTTGTACAACCGGTAGGTAAATTTCCAGAAAATTCTGGATTTTTTTTTTTAAGTTAATATACTTTATATACATGATATATTATTGAGAATGAGCTATTTCTCATGACGTTGCTTGTCACAGACTTAACCTTAAGCCAATTAATTTAACCCCTTTCTAGTTTTGTTTAACTGGAGCTACCCTACTAAAGAGCTTTATGTTTCTCATCAAATCTTACCATGATCTATTTCATCTTATTATTATTATTATTTTTTTCCTTTGTTCTTTTGCGTACTCTAAAGACTGACTCTTCAAAAAGTCTTTCCCTGTGTAACCTGATCATGGAGGAAACTCCAGACAGTGGTTTGGCTGAAGAAATTCAAAGATCTCAAATTGACCTGGGTGCATTTACTTGGGGCCCTGATGCTAGTACAGACAGTGTCAGCCAGGAAATCACCCAAGGCAGGTCTCAGAAAGACTCTGCATATCTCTCTGAAGCAGATCAAAGCATGAGATTATCAACAGGAGACCTTTCTTCTGCTCACTGGCCTACTGTAGCTGAGCAGGGTGAGCGTGTCCCGGGGCCAGCCCCACCAGGAGGAGATGAACAGCTGCCCCCAGAGCCTGAGCCTCAGGCTGGGTTTTCCATAGATGCTTGTATGGAGTTGGAACAGCTTTATGAATCTTCACTCGAGCCAGAGATGCCAGTCATGGAAACTAGGAATCTGTTCAAAGAAAATCATGAAGAAGTTAAAAAGGCAGAAGAAGAGGAAGAGAAACAGAAGATAGAAGATTCTGTGTGGGCAGGTGTGGAGACATGTGAAAAGGTAGACATTAGAACTAGTGATATCAAGGCACTAGAAACTACAGAGGAATTTGAGGAGAAAGCTTGTGAAAACAGAGGAAACAGGGTAATAGATCTTTTTGAGACAATAGAAAAGCAAGACCAAGGGTACTTAAAAATAATTGAAAATAACAGAGACCAAGGACTAGATGATAGGATTCCAGTAGTAATAAATAATTGTGAAATTATAGAGGGTTCTGGAGTTAAACCTTCCAGTCATACAGATATCTTGAATCCGCCTCTCCAGACTGACTCTGTCTCTAATATTAAAGATAACAGCCCTGAAGGATGGACTTTAGCTAGAAAAGACATAAAGAAAAATTTAATAGACCATGTTAACCATGATATAATATATCACACAGCACAGGGCACTGCCGATACTGAAGAAATTCAGTGTGAGTCTGTGTTATATGCTTTTGGAGGTGGCAATGATGAAAATCAGGCTGTAGTTTTATCAGTAAAACGTGAAGTGGCAGCTCAGTCTAGGACCGACCTTAATTCTTCTCTTGGAACTAATGCAAACAGATGGGACTGGTGTTCATGTAAGGCAGAAGATTCATTAATAGAGAGGTCTGAGAGTACAGTGACTGGGAACTGTAGTCATACTGTTAGCTTGCCAGGAATTGCAGAGACAGACTCTGGAGGAAAAGCTCCAGGTCAAATCTGGCAGCAAAGCTTGGATTTAGCAGTGAATAATAAGGATATATTTGGATTCTCTAGTCTACCAGATGGCCAAGCCAGTGGATTTGCCAGTTGCCCAGATTCTTTTAACCACTGGTCTCTTAGAGATATAGTAAGCTTAGATAACTGCTGGGAACATTTAGACATAGTTGAGAACAAGAAAGAGCTGGAGGTGGACTTAATAGCAGATGTATGTGGGGAGCAAGACATTTCTAGCTGCTGGGAACAAAGCCGAGAGATAGCTAGACCATTGGTTCTGGGAACCTCCTGGAATACTAGCCCTGAGAGTTCCTCTAGACTCCAAGACAATGACACCAACAATGCAGATTTATCTGAAGACGAAATTGCTAACCAAAGATATGGATTGTTGTACCAAGAAATAGAGACTCATAAAGACGAGGTACCTACCCCAGTATGTAGCATAGACTAGCCAAAGACTTCTGTAGGTTCTGTTTTTCCTAATGTCTCTCACATACTTCATTATCCATCACCTATCTTCTCTGAAGCCTGCTTGATCCCCTTAACAGAATGGCATGTACCTCTTGATATCTGTGCAAACCAAACACAAATAGATTGACCAAAAAGAAAAAAGAAAAAAAAGGATGATTGTGTTAGGAACTAATGAAATCTATTTTACCCTCCCATGACTGAGTTTATTCTTCCTACTTTCATTTTTACTGTTCAAGCAATAAAACTATGCTAAACCAAGAGCAGAACAGAGTAATTTACTGTGCTTCTAGTGGTTCCACTCCAGTAAAACCATATGAAATGTTTCTATCGAGGCCCACTGAAACTGTGGAATCTCATCCTCGCTGTTCTGAATAGAGATGGGTGATAGAAGTACTGGAAAAGCTTCTAAAATTCTATCAGTGGCCTGAGAAAAAAGAGCTGTTTAACCTCTCATAATTCTTCTCGTGTATCATTGAAGAAGTGGGTTTTAAATAACACTGAACCACATACCAGCAATAATTACAAAATAATCCCCCTCTTTTTTTTTTGGTCAGACTATTTATAATAATACAGTGTGGCTTTTTGCATTTCCTAAGCACTTTTGCTCACAGCAGCCTTTTGTATTATTTTAAATTTGTGGTGGTCTTTACTTTCCAGTTTGTCTAATGAGCATTTACTTACCTTGCGAAAGTGATGAAGAAATAACACACTCTGATTTCCATTTCTGTTTAGGTCTCTGGTGGTTCATTTAATGGATTTACCCAGGTAAGAAATCAATTTGCTGGCAAGACCTCTCTGCTGAGAATGATGGGATTTTTTAAAACATGGGCCACTGTGCCACTGGTATGGCATAGTGATTAAGAGTATAGCATATATCCTGACCCCACAACTACAAGTTGAGTAATGGAGACAGTAATAGTAACAACACTGTAGGGTAATTATCAAGATCGAATGAGCACTTAGCCCGGTAGCCTAGCACATATTAAGTTCTCCATGAATGTAGTTAGCTATTATTAATATTATTAGCTACATCATGAGTTCCTATTTTTTAACAAAATAGCTAGGACATTAAATAATTTGTAATCTTCTATTTTCTTCCTAATTTCCAGCCCCAGGATACATCATTATTCACAGTACAGACAGACCAGAGTATGATCTCTAACGTGGTAAGTTGATTTTGATTGGTGTTTTTGGGATGCTGTTAACTACCACTGCATGTTGTGAAGTAAGCTGATCATTCTAGGTTATCTAGGACTTGAATATCCAGAATGTGGTTATTCTAGCTCCCTCTTTTCTAGAAAACAGAGGGGAAGCTTCTGTAAAATCTCCTTGTGACCTCTGACTTTGGTTGGTTGTATTTATAAAGGCACCATGATCCCAGCAACAACCAAGATCTAAATATTGGAATATGGTAAATCCACCAAGGACATGGATATCTCCATGTTGCTAATGGTTAATGCACACAGCCGCTAACTGAAAGGTGGGTGGTTTGAGTCCACCCAAAGCACCTCGGAAAAAAGGCTTTGTAATCTACTTCCCAAAAATCAGCCATTGCAAACCCTGTGGAGCACAGTTCTACTCTGACACACATGAGGTCACCATGAGTTGGAATTGACTCCATGGCAACTTGTTTATAAGTTAAACTACAGGATTGAAAATTAAGTTGCCTCAAGAATTCCTGCCTCACAATAGATGCTTGCTTTTTCTTGAACCTGAAGTTACCTCATTTCTCATCACATAACTTGTTTTTGTGAGTTATAGAAAGAATTAATGCAGAGTGCAAGTCAGAATCGACTAGATGGCAATGGGTTTTTTTTTTTTTTACGGCGTAGAGACATTAAACCAAACCAGTTGCCATCGAGTTGACGCTGACTCATAGCGACCCATGTGTTTCAGATTAAGACTGTGCTCCATAGGGTTTTCAATGGTTGTGCTCTTTCAGAGTTAGATCACTAGGCCTTTCTTCCAAGTCACCTCAAGGGTGGATTTGGGCTGCCAACCTTTCAGTTAATAGCCAAGAGCTTAACTATTTGTGCCACCCAGGGACTCCTGTAAAGACATTAGCAGAGCATAAAATAATACATGTGACACCTAATTTGCTGATGAGAAGAGAGAACAACTTAGCTAGGGGATGAGAAGGAAGCGCAGAGTTACTCTTGGTGTTAGAGGAGGTCCTTACAAGATCAGCGTTGTTATCATGGGGATCTTTTTAGCAGCACTTTTCTAGTAAAGTTGAATGAAGAGACCTTAAGCAAAGTCACCTGGGAGGTTGTCAGTGATACACTACTGAGGATTTTGGCTCTTCGGGGGTTAGTTCATGACAGTTATTTGCAGCTCACTGGTTTTCCCAAGAGGATAGTATATGATGATCCCAGCTCCTGACTTTCACATTGGAAGCTGTTGGCCCTGAATTAATGAAGAGAATGAAATGATTTGTCTTTGCCTTGAGGTCAGATGGGTTTAAGTGGATGGAATTTTTCTTTTTAGATATTTTCTTTCTAAGTCAAGAATTCTGTTTTGGGAAGTTTGTCTTCAAGGTTAATTTGATATTTTTGCAAAGGCTGGTGTGTCTCTAATACCTTGTGAACAGATTGTTGTACTTCTGCCTTTTGAGTAACAAGGTGAAAGGCAGAGTCTGCATGGCCTTCAAATAAAGATTTAAATGGATAAAATACACATTTTATTAATGTTAATAATGGAGCCAGAGAGACTCGTTCTTCACTTTCAGTAGTGTTCCTCAGCCTGGGTGATGAAGATAAGGGTTATACTCGTGCTAGAGGATGAGTTTTAATTATCAATTGTAAATGGGTTAAGAAAAATTGAGGAATACTCATATAAAAGGAAAGGCAACTGGTCATAATTAACTAAACTCACACCTATCATTTAACAATCCAGGCATAGGAGCCAATGGTTTTTAAATTCCTCTGAACATCCCTTCTGCCCCCACAGCTGGTTCTAGTAGCTTCCTTGCCTGTCCTCCTCTTCCCTTGTTTGATATGTATTCTCTGAAACAGACGTCTTTCACCATCTTTCTATTTGGGAACTTAGCTTTATTATGTCCAGCATTAAAAGGCTGCTAACATTGGCTCTGGTCTATGAGGAACTAGGAAATCACTGTGAACCTGCATCTCTAGGTGAGTGGTGGTTATATGTGACCTTCCCAGGAGCAGGAAACCTTCCTGGCATTTGGCTGATTGAAAGTTCTGAGCAAAGTGGAGGTTGAAGTCAGTGGTCAGCTGCACATCTCCCCCGCCTGCATCTTGTGGCTCCAGAGGACATCTCTTGAATATAAGTTACACCCTTTGGAATCTACAAATACTTTGCCCAGGACTCAGAGTTGCCTCCATGGCCCTTTGTAGTTTTCATTACTGAGTTCTCCCAAGGTTAAAGAAGAAGGACTACAAGGCAAATACCATATTGGGATGTGACTAGACCCTTAACCCTACTCTCCCAACCCATCTCCTCTTCCTCTGCACTGACTTACCTTCATTGTATCGAAGAGGATACTGGAAAATGTACTTGCCGGCTATACTACTCTTTTTTGCTCTGAAGGAAGAATTCCATTTCTGAGTCTCAGAATCAAACTACTGTGGCATCCTGTTGCCACCAAATAAATGTAAATAATATGTCTCTCCTATGAGTGTACAATGATTGCTACTCAAGCAAACAATAGGATATCATTACTTGTGCTCCATGGTATGCTATGGTATAAACCCATTTGCAGCATCTGTCTAGGAAGGCATCTTGTAGGGAAAAAAAATGGTTGAAGCAGGGCACAATTTTGACAGGGTTATTTTAGACCTCTCCGGGAGATGTTGCTCACAGTTTTTCTTTGTTTTTTCACTCTATCTTGACAAAATGTTTATAATTTTACACTATCCTAAAAGGAATAGAAGGGTTACTTCAGTTTCTAAATTTGAGTTGCTGATTCTATGGACAATCCTGCTATCGTGGTTCATCCTTCCTCATCACTCAGTGAGTTATACTTACTCCCCAGGAATTTAAGTCAGTTGTTGCAGTGCTACATTGTAATATCGGGTGTGATGACATGTGGGGACATACCCAGTCCTGCCTCCTCTTTACATCATAATGCCGATTTCAAATGTTCAGCAAGGAAATGCAAGTATACTCATTTATGAAATCATCCTAGGTATTCTTGCCTTATATAAAACTTCAAAATTTCTTTGGACTTTCAAGAAACACAGACTCTGATGCGGATGTTTTCTTCATTTTAAGTTGTCTTTGCATTTTTTTATGTACAGCAATGTGTTTATTTGACTCACGTTTTGAAGCTTCTTTTGGTTTCTCATACGGCTTCAGACGTCTGCAGTGCAGGTTCAGCTCGCAGGGGACAGCATCTGATGACAGATTTCTTGGTGGTTTGTCAAATTAGCCTTCGCGTCCTCCATTGTGCAGGTCATTTGAGATCGGGCTTTTATAGCAAGTCACCTTGACTTCCCCGAAAGGTATGGTCACACCATGAGAGCTTACAGTACTAGTCTGCTGCTCTGAATACTTGTTCCATCATGAAGATTATTCTTTTTGAACAATAAAAGTGAAGTCTTCTCCCATAATGGACTCCTAAAGTCATATTGGAGTGAATTTTATTGCATTCTTTTTTTAAAATTGTGTCAGACTACCTCTTAAAGGTTATAAAAGCCCATAAAAATATCAAATTTCTTTGCGCACTTGTCTACCAAACTGTCTTCTCATTTCATGATGTCCTTCGAAAAGAAGGGTGGTGTGATCATGGCATGCATCACAATGAAGGGTTTGGTGGGGGCACAAGACAAATATATTGTATATTTATCCAATGCTAGACTTTTATTATCTGTAATTTCAGTGTAACTTTTCGATCACTTCTCTATGGAGATTGTCACGCGCATTGACTTAGGTGCACGTACAGAAGTAATACAGGTGTCTTGTGGTTGCTTTGGAGCTCTGGTGGCTCAGTGGTTAAAAAGTCAGCTGCTAACCAAAAGGTCAGCAATTAGAATCCACCAGCTGCTCCTTGGAAACCCTTTGGAGCAGCTCTATTCTGTCCGATAAGGCGGCTATGAGTCGAAATTGACTCTACAGAAGTGGGGTTTTTTTTGTTTGTTTTGTTTTGGTTGCTTATGCTGAGAGTCTGGTAGAAGCTAATAATTTCTCCAAAGTGTTAATCAAAGACTTCTTACTCTTCTGGCAAAACACTTTTTAACTTTTTTTATAGTTCATCAAGTGTTCTGATGGGAAGGGATTTTTGATGAGCCCTCTAGTGTCCACCCATTTAATGAAACAATCATGCTAAACAAATATGCTGATTTATAGTAACACAAATGGGGAAAAGGGGAACATTCTCAGTAGCTTTGATGACATATATTAACTGTGATGTTTTTAATGGACTGTGGTTGCTTTGTTATTCCTAACTTTAAAATGAAAATGGTCTTGTGCTAAGAGATTCTAGAGACCTTATTTAGCATATAATTGGAATCAGGATGATGTCTCTGTGTAGAGAGGTCACAGTAAAACGAAAAGACCTTTCTCATGCCCACACAATTAGAAGGGTGATATAACAGAGAATTCTGCCCCGTGGCTTCTTAAAGAATTAGTTGATTATATGAAGTAAACTGATTGCTCAGGATTTTGTCGGAGGAAGAAGGGGAATGGGGGACTGAATTGGAAATTACAACAAGGCAGTAGTGATAGCGGTGGCTGCTTTCCGGGTAGCTGGGCCTGTTCCTCCCAGCCTTGGAAGTGACCTAGTAGCTCCATAGTGACTAACTAATGCAAATGAATTCATTTTAATTTGAAAATTGGCTGACTCCTTGATATTTTGGTGCTGTACATATCAACAGATCTGGGAGGTCCCAGAACTGTGTGCTCATGGTCGCTTCCTCATTCCTTCCAAGTGGCATGTGTGGGAGCTCCTAGGATCTCTCTCTCTCTCTGCTAAATAGGGAAGTGAGTGGTCAGAATGATGCAAGTGAGTAAAATGGTAGCCCAGTGGTAAGTCTTTGCCTAACTTCGAGGGAAATGACCGTTCTTGACGATGGTAAAACAAGAGGCTTAATTAGAGTCCATCTCCAGACTTTTCAATTCTATAAAGGCCCATGATGCCAATAGTGGGAATTTTTTTTTACTGGCACAGATGTAATGAAGCTAGTTACCTATGGGATGACAAATGCAATCTGAATTGTCCAGTATTCTGTAGTATTCTCTGTTCACATGTTGAATCTTTTTCCTCTAACCCCCAAAACAAACAAAGGCTGAATCTGAACAGGCTCCACCCACAGAGCCGAAAGCAGAGGAGCCCCCTGCTGCTGCTACTCCAGCTGTTGGACTGGAACCTGGACTGAACACTCAGGCTGAGGAGCCAGTGGAGGAGGCAGTGGTGAGCGCCACCTCCCTTCCATCTTCCATCTGCCTCTCCTGCCGCAGCCATGCTCATCCCATCATCTCATTTACCCCTTCTCATCCATGCCTTATGGGGCCAAACCAGCTCCATGTCTGCTAGGGCTCCCCAGATTCAAATAGCCTTGTATCCTTGACAATGAAACTCTATTTCTTTTATTTTTTAAAAGGAAGAGATCCAGAAAACTGATCTGATGATATAGAAAAACTGCCATGTAGCCACAGGCTTGGCTCTCTGAAAAGGTTACCTTTTTTTTAATCCTCACATCAGTTCTTTTTTTAAAAAATTATATTGTGTTTTAGGTGAGAGGTTACAGTGAAAATTAGTTTTTTTTTTAAATTTTTTTATTGTACTTTAGATGAAGGTTTATAGAACAAACTAACTTCTCATTAAACAGTTAGTACATCTTTTGTTTTATGACATTGGTTAACAACCCCGTGACATGTCAATGCTTTCACTTCTTGACCTTGGGTTTCCTATTACCAGCTTTCCTGTCCCTTCCTGCCTTCTAGTCCTTGCTGCTGGGCTGGTGTGCACCTTTCTTCTCGTTTTGTCCTATGGGCCTGTCTAATCTTGGCTAAAAGGTGAACCTTTAGAGTGACTTTATTACTGAGCTAAAAGGGTGTCCGGGGGCCATACTCTCACCGTTTCTCCAGTCTCTGTCAGACCAGTAAGTCTGGTGTTTTTTTTTGAGTTGGAATTTTGTTCTATATTTTCCTCCAGCTCTGTCTGGGACCCTCTACTGTGATCTCTGTCAGGGCAGTCAGTGGTGGTAGCTGGGCACCATCTAGTTGTACTGGACTCAGTCTGGTGGAGGCTGTGGTAGTTGTGGTCCATTGGTCCTTTGGCCTAATCTTTCCCTTGTGTCTTTAGTTTTCTTCATTTTCCCTTGCTCCTGAAGGAGTGAGACCAGTGGAATATCTTAGATGGCCGCTTACAGGCCTTTTAGACCCCAGATGCTACTTACCAAAGTAGAATGTAGAATATTTTCTTTATAAATTATGTTATGCCAGTTGAGCTAGATGTTCCCTGAGGTCATGGTCCCTACTGCCCTCAGCCCTGTAATTAGGTCTCTGAGGGAGTTTGGATTTGTCCATGGAGCTTCCATGACCTTACCTTGAACAAGTTGTGCTGGCTTCTCCAGTATTGTGTACTGTCTTACCCTTCACCAAACTTACTGCTTAACTATTGTCTGTTGAGTGTTTTTGTACCCCGACTCCTCCCCTTTCTTGTAACCTTGTTTCTTTTTGTGTTTAAACCTTTTCATGAGTTTTTATAGTAGTGGTCTCATACAATATTAGTCCTTTTGTGATTGACTTGTTTCACTCAGCATAATGCCCTCCAGATTCATCTATGTTGTGAGATACTTTGCAGATTCACCATTCTTTACTGTTGTGTAATACTCCATTGTGTGTATGTACCATAGTTTGTTTATCCATTCATCTGTTGATGGGCATCTAGGTTGTTTCCATCTTTTTGCTATTGTG